GGGATTTTGGGGTCCAGGGGTGGATTTTGGGGCGGTTTTGCGGGATTTTGGGGGTCCTGAGGTGGTCCCGGGGTGGTTTTATGGGTTTCGAGGTGAATTTTTGGGGTGGTGTGGGGGGATTTTGGGGGTCCCAGGATGTATTTTGAGGCAGTTTTGGGGGATTTTGGGAAGGTTTGGGGGGATTTTGGGGCTCCCGGGGTGGATTTGGGGAGTCCCAGGCTGGATTTTGGGGCGGTTTTGGGGGATTTTTGAAGTCCCATATTTGATTTTGGGGCAGTTTTGGGGAATTGGGGGGCCTGGGGTGGATTTTGAGGTGGTTTTTTTTGGATTTTTGGAGTTCAGGGGTGGATTTTGGGAGTTCTTAGGTGGATTTTGAGGGTCACAGGGTGGATTTTGGGGGTCCAGTGGTGGATTTTGGAAGTTCCTAGGTGGATTTTGAGGGTCATGGGGAGGATTTTTGGGCAGTTTTGGGGGATTTTGGGGCTTCCGGGGTGGATTCGGGAAGTCCCGATGTGGATTTTGGGGTGGGTTTGGGCGATTTTGGGGGTCCCAGGGTGGATTTTGGGGCTCCTGCTGTGGATTTTTGGTGTCCTGGCGTGGATTTTGGGGCGGGTTTGGGTGAATTTGGGCTCCCGGGGTTTATTTTTGGGTGGTTTTGGGTTAGGCCTGAGGCAGTACTAGGAGGGGCTGGTCGAAGGAGAACTGGGGGCTTTGAGGGGGTTTGGGGCTCTCCCTGGGGGGGTAGGCTATACCAGAGGGGTCCCCACAGCACCAGTGGGGGGGCACTGGGAGGACTGGAAGGGGACTGGGGGCACCAGGAGCCCCCGGGGGGTACCAGGGGAGGGGGAGAGGGCAATGCTGGGGGGTACCAGAAAGGGGGAGCCAGCCCTGGGGGGTGGTTCGGGGGCATCTTGGCGTCTGGAGGCAGCCCCGGGGGTGATGCAGGAGTCGGTACAGGCAGTCTGGGGGATACCGGGGTCTGGGGGTGATCGGAGGGGGGCAGTACCAGGGTCTGGGGGTGATCGGGGGGGACAGTACTGGCAGTCCAGGGGTACTGGGGTCTGGGGGTGATCGGAGGGGGGCAGTACCAGGGTCTGGGGGTGATCGGGGGGGACAGTACTGGCAGTCCAGGGGTACCGGGGTCTGGGGGTGATCGGGGGGGCAGTACCAGGGTCTGGGGGTTATTGGGGGGGGCAGTACCAGGGCTGGGGGGGGATCGAGGGGGACAGTACTGGCAGTCCAGGGGTACCGGGGTCTGGGGGTGATCGGAGGG